GGTCTTCTCAGCTGAAACCGGAACGTTTATCACTGCCATTGTCACTTAACATACTGTTAACAACTGTTAAGCCTCGTATTTACTGACACTATCTCAAGAACTATATATATATTTTATAGTTATAAAATATATATTTGTAATTATATTAAAACTTGACCTACCTAATAAATGGGCATCGGTTCTTTTATGGGCAATATCCTTCACGTCGCTTAGTTCTCCATCTTCTCGATCTGTCTTTAGCCGTTTGTTCCGCAATGAAGATATTTTGAACATGAGTTTCTCCCTGAAACGATCAAGCAGAAGTTCAAAAGTACGTTAGACTGCATATTTAGATGTTCTGCTTCACCAGAACATTAAAATCAAGATGTATATTTATCAGCAAGTGTGTGTACAAAATGCAATTTAAATTTACTATCAGGAAGTACCTAGTCACTGAATATGTCAATCAAGGCAGTGTCCCCGTAGCAATTTTTCTCAGCTACTTTGTAGCAGACGGACAACTATCAGAGCGCAAAACAATGGAACGCATCATGGCAAACATATGTTGTTTTCACCAGCTACGAAAGCTATAAATACTTACAGCGAACTGGAAATGATCGATTAAAGAGGTTGTAGTGACGTGAGAAAGAAAGTTATGTATTTTATGCTACATCTAGGTTTCCTCTACACTGATTAGTGGAAGTAGCAGATAACGGAATGACGTTGTGCCAACAACCGGCGTGTAGCCATAGCAAATATCACTTCCCATTATCTTATTGCCCGAGGATGACTAAGTGAATATACAAGGTTGAATAGTTTCTGATACGTTACTCCATAATCACTCAGCGGAAGGATATCATTTTTAAACTATCCATAAAGCATCATCCTGATCTTCATTTTATCTTCTATTTAGTTTTCTTCCCCTGAACAGGCGATAAACAGCAGGGTAAAAAATTCGTAATTTCTTCTTTGTGAATCAATAACCACTGCTCTCAATCCGCCAGTTGAGGTTTCAAAATGGAGTGTACTCTTTTTTGACAGAACCGCCTCAAAAGAAGATAACAGAATTCTGTCAACCATGATTACCACTGTATCATTGACTTACCGTCTGTGAATTCAAACAGATTTTCGTAGTTAACAACATTATAGTATATCCTTTTAATAGTTCGTTTTATATGCTATCCCGTACTAAGATCATTATCAATACATTCATTACTTGCGAACCGACCGATATTTTGGTATTATCCGTTAATAATCACATTAAAATGCGTCATCTTTTATTTAATGGATGAAGAAATCAGATTTGAAATTTGGCAGGAGTTGTAAAGACACATTTCCCTGCTCATGGCCATATAAGTGGCCCACGATGTTACATATTCCTGTCGTACTCTTTGTATCGTCATAGCCTAATTTCGTTCCATCATAATTAGAGTAAAGCCGACGATAGGAAAAGACCTCACGCGTTTTCATTTATATTAAGATGAATGATGGTCGATATCCTGCTGTACTGCTTAATGTATTTGCGACCAGCCTTTGTTTAAGGTAAACAGCGCTCTGCTAACTTCTGATTACCACTGCCTTGATAGTTCATCGTCAGAATTTCAGAATATGGTCAGGGTCAGGGCGCAAAATTTTCTTGAGTAAAGAAACTTTCCATGCAAATCCTTAAAACTGACTTTGCGTACTATCCTGATGTGCTTAAGCGCAGAAAATTGAAAAAATCATTAACTCTGCAAAAACTAAAAAAGTTGACTGAGCACAACAGTAATTCTTACCTCCCTTTGTTGGTAGCAAAATCCGAATTTTTTGACGCGTGCTTTAAGGCTGATGTTTTGATTGGCAAACTTGGAACCGACTTCAATTTAAACGACGTCGGGACATGCTTTGGTTCAACAGGGGCAGCAGAAGACGACGATCCTACGGCAACTGGCGCAGGCGATTCTGTCTTAACATCAGAAGTCATTTCAGCAGCTACAGCGCTCTTAGGATTATCGTTCTTAAAACAAAACGTAAAAAAATGGGCACGAATTGAAAGAACACCAATTCAGTCTTTTATACCTTCTGATCACCCTTCGCATTCTCCTCTTCCAGCTCCTTCAGCTTCTGACGAATTTCTAATCGTTTCCTCTCCAACTGCAAAGCTTCATCCGTCTCCACGTTCAGTGAATAGCTATTACCGCCACCGATGTTAGTGCTACGCGAAGCCGTTTCCATTGTTCTCGATACAACGGCGGTGGATTTCTCTACCTCACTACCCTCAGATCTCTGAAGCGGCACTTGCACTGCGCTTTTGTATGACTTCCCATCCTGAAAAACATACAGTAACCATGACCTGATGGTGGCGCCTGTAATCGACAATTACTGCAGAAATTCCGTTCCCTGATGTCCGGTGTTTCCACTGGGTCTGCGATGAAGAAGGCAAAGCGTTTCTATCAGAACCAGCAGGTGGCTGCTCCGTCGTGGTTACGGCCAATTCTCGGGTCCATTTCAATCCTAAGCTGCTCTCAACATTTTTCAACTGAAACAGTAGTATGATCAGGCAATGGTTTCTGCAGGACAGGGTTAAAATTATCGACGCATCTGATTATATCTTGCCAGCATCATTTTAAACGGCAATCTACTATGGCCTGACATATTTTCGGCAATTTGAACGCATCCACTACCCGAGGCAGTCAATTTTTCAAGGTGATACATTTAACAAGTGATTAAACGGAATTCACATATAATGATTTCCAGGTTTTCAAATCTAGGCATAGAGCCGATTTCACAAACCATCGAAGAATTACCCTTCTGCCTGTGCCGAATATTTCTTGAAAGATCGAAGGAGGTCAAAAGTGATTCGCTAAGAATAAATCAAACAGGTTTCTGAAACGAAGCGGACATTCGTGCCAGACACAAACAATATCATTGTGCCGAGAAAGCAGCGGCTTTCGACTGCCCTTGAATGCAAAGTTTCTCAATTTCCGTGCAGTCATTGACTCGCCAGACAATGTGATGGTGAACCTGACCAAAAAACCGGCGGGGTCAAAATGTGCCGCCTCAAAAGAAAGATCCCTCTCGGACAGATTAAACATTATCAGTGGAGCTCTTCAAAGAGAGATGATGTCTCCTTTATTGCCATGGCTGATATGCTTTGCGGAATAGCGCCGTCC